AAAAAAAAAAATTCACTTTCAATGTAGAAAATATAAGCAAAAGAAAAATCATTTCTTTTGTTTCTTCAAGCAGGCAGCGCAAATTCTTTAAACAGTCCCAGCACGGTGACGCCTCCAAGGAACAAACTGGGCCTGATGCTGGCAAAGTCAGAGAGCAATAGTCCCCTGACACCAGAGTCGAAGCAGGGTAGCCCCTTTTACGCGGAACCAGCGGACGCGATCGCGCAAAACGCTGCAATAATACCGAGAAGACGACCCAGAAATAATCCAGCGACGAACAAATATCGGCACAGTGAACCAGGGTGGCTGCAAACGCCAGTAGGTGCGAATTCGAATCAGCTACACCCGATCGATTGGGAGGAATCGGAAGAAACGGAAGATAAGACGCCTCTGATCTCCTCCTCCGTTGATAATCTGGCCAAGAGGCTCGGCACCAAAGAGACGAAGAAAATTCCACGTGCCAAGCCAGTACAACCACCAAAGATCAGGACAAAGGTGTTCAATGACACATCCTGGGCTGTTGACTCCAGCTGGGAGTTTATCGGTAAGTTGCAACTTTTTATTTTTATTTTTTGTTGTTTATAATTGTTATTTATAATCTTGTGAAAAATAGAGGATACGATTTCTTTTTTCTAATTCGAAAGATTGGAATTAGAGTTATACAGAATATGATTATTCTAATTAGGAATGATTCAATTCTTTAAATTTCAGTAAATTTAAATTGTTCTTTCTTCAAATTTTATTCTTTCTTCAAAGTAAAATAAAGAATGTGGTTATTCTAAATAGAACTCTATAGCTAAATTATATCTTTAATTTTTAAGATAGTGGATATGGAGCATATGAAGAACACGATTTTTTAATCCGAGAATCTCCGTTTTTAATTTCTTAAATAATTTTGGATAAAATAAAAAAAAAAACAATTGCATTAATGAATTCAAATTTTTAATTGATTTCCCAGTTCTTTTATAATCTTCCAATCTTTTACGTCAAAAGTGAAGAGACACTTTGTAACTCTTTGTAATCCTTTCTCAAATAAATAAAGTTGACAATGTTCAACAAACGCCAAACAATAAACAATTTCAAATCAAGATACGATCAAATGCTCACTCTTTATCCAACATCGATAAACCCATATCATCGTGAATTCAGCAATCTAATCCCCTAATCTAATCTCCGTTTGTGAATTTGCACAAAATTTCGATAAATCAATATATTTCCATTTCATTTAATCGTCGATTTGCACACAAGTCATACGTTTTCATCCATATCATGTGCAAACTGTGTAAAAATTCAAATTGAAAAGTGAATTTTGAGATTTGCTTTCTCTTCGAACGATGGATAGGTCGACAGAAGTAACGATAACGACTTTTGATAATGCTTGTCCAGGCAACGAAGGTGACGATTGCGAACCAGACTACGACTGTGATGCGGATTACGAGGGCGACAACGTGGCCAGAAAATTTCCGGACGAGGAGTGCGACAGAGATGTTGTTGGGAACACTTTGACCGTTCAGAGTATCATCCTCCAACGGTAAGTTTCCAATCGAATTCATTCATAATTCGCCGAATCGCGAATTTGCAATTATCGATGACATTATCACTGCAACGCTGATAGTGAATTTGCTGGAATTAAATAATGAATTTCGAGTGAGAAAAGCATCTACACATCTTAAATTAAATCAATCGTTTGCATTCTGAAATATTTTTAAATGTTTTAAAGATCTTTTGGAACTTTAATTTTATTTTTCACAATTGTTAGAGCCAAA